CCCCTTATGCATTCATATGAAGAAATGTATTGTTTACTTTTTCACCTGTCCTCAAGGTCTGCCAAGTACCAGGCTTGTATTTTAGAATCCACTACTCCTCCAGATCAAACCACAGCACCCCAGCAGGACACAAGCCCTCCACCAGAATCATCTCTGGAGAACCAGACCTCCATCACACCAGACCCAGCCTCCAGCACACACCAAGATGGTCCCGCTAATGATGGAGAAGCTCAGGTACATGGTGAAATAATCACTGACAAACCCAATCCTGAGGATGAAGAGAAGAACAGTCCCATTGAGGAGAAAACAACTGAGGGACATCCAGAGCAAGAAGAGCAGCAGGTCTCGGTGGATGCAGCCCAGACTGAACCTCAGGTGCTCAAACCTCGGAAGGATAAACTGGCCAGATTGAGGGAGCTTGGTCTGGATCCTCCTCCTGTGGTGAAGTTGTCCGCAGATGAAGGGGCTTTTGTCCAGTTGGAGGCGCCTCAGGAAAACCAAGGTACGATTTTACATAGGGAATATCATTATGTCTGTTGTTCTGCAATAGGGAAGTGCGCTCGTTTTTGTGATTGATTTAGAACCTCTGATTCTGTTTTCTATGGGAGAAATGACCAAGAGTTATAAATTGCAGAAAACAAACTTAACTACTCGCTCTAAAAACAACTGTGTTTATGACCGTACACAAAAAGTAGAATAAGATAATAACAGGGTTCATACGGTCCTGGTAAACCTGGAAAAGTCATGGAATTTTGGCAAGGCATTTTCCAGGCCTGGAAAAGATTTGGAAAAATAAATAAACCCAAAATAACTCTATCGAACCTCTTCAGCTGCTTCAGAACGCAGCAGCACGAGTGGTCTTTAATGAACCTAAAAGAGCACATGTCACTCCGCTGCTCATCCGTTTGCACTGGCTGCCAGTTGCTGCCTGCATCAAATTCAAAGCTCTGATGTTTGCTTAAAAAGCAACTTCTGGCTTTGCTCCTTCTTATCTGGTCTCTAGAATCTATGTGCCCTTTAGAAACTTGCGTTCTGTGAATGAACGTCGCCTCGTGGTTCCATCCCAAAGAGGGAAGAAATCACTTTCCCGAACTCTCGCATTCAATCTGCCCAGTTGGTGGAATGAACTCCCTAACTGCATCAGAACGGCAGAGTCACTCGCTGTCTTCAAGAAACCACTAAAAACTCAGCTGTTTAGTCTCCACTTTCCTTCCTAATCTGCAATTGCCTCTCTGACTCCACCGCTAACTGTGCTACAAATTTATTTATTTTTTTTAAATTACTAATGTTTTTTTCCAAGAGTTCAGTCACAGCAGGGTGAATTAGCCTTCAGCTACTAACAGCGCCCCCCGCTGCTGGAATCAGCTTCCAGAAATGATCAGATGTGCTCCAACATTAGGCACATTCACATCAAGACTGAACACACGTCTGTTTAGCTGTGCCTTTGCTGAATGAACACCGACAGGTCGCACTATATGTCTTTCTTTTCTTTTTCATTGATTTATAACCTGTTTTAACACATTTTAATCTGTTCTTATATTATTTATTTTTATTACACTTGTCTCTTTTATTCCTTTCCATGTAAAGCACTTTGAATTGCCACTGTGGGTGAAATGTCAACATTATCTCCAGCAGAAAATATATCTAAAGATGCCATTTTAAATTGCAAAAAATCTGTTTTTGAAACAAATTACAACAGCAGAAGTCAATAATTAATTTAGCCTGACATGTTTACTCTTCCAAAATATTTAAATGTTTCTCAAAATGAAATATAATGTGTTCAAAAGTGAAAATTTTTTAGTTTTTAACCCAAACATTTAAAAAGAACATATTTCAGAGCAGTAACCACAATACCGTAAAACAGTGATATTTTTCCCAAGGTTATCATACCGTCAGAATCTCATACTGGCTCATGCCTAGCTAGGACTGGCTGTTAGACTTTTTAAATTTCTTTAAAATCTGAGCTAAATTATCCATTATTGCTCTCATAATGGCTATTAAATCATGAAAATTTATATTCAAACTATTTTAGTTTTATGCAAAGCACATCAGTGCCTAGTCTTTTCTTTCATTAAAAAATTGAATGGAAATGCCATGGAAATTCAGCTTTTTGTCATTGAATGTCAGGGAAAATGGCTTCGAGTGAAAATTTTTAATGTTTTAATTTTCTTTTGCACTTTTCAACAATTTATGATTGATGATTGTGTGTCTGTTTCAGCTCTGAAAGCACTACAGGAGCGCTTCATGAAGCACTTCCAGCCCGCACCTCGTCCCAAACGCGAGCGCACATTACAGCTTAATGTGGTGAGGAAAGACAGCAGTTCATCAGGACAGGAGGAGCTGCACTCTGAATCCATCACAATCACTGTCAAGGAGGGAGAAGATGAGCCAGCCAATGTCAAACCAGGTACAGTCAATGCATTTACTCACCCGCAGGTAGGCATGGGACGATAACCGGTTTCAAGGTTTACCATGTTAACTGTTTTAAAAAGTTAGTTGTTTCTGTGGTATATGTAATTTAAAAAAAATATGTGTTGTCAAAGAAAAGCACGCTCCACATTAAAGTCCACTGGTCTCCGGTATTTGTTTTATTTGAAAATGACTTGTATTAGAGCAGTGATCACAATACTGTCAAATCATTTTCTTGAAGGTTATCATTACCTCTGGCCATTCAAGGTGTAGGTCACTTTATTTATTTATTTTTTTGTGCATTATATTTTTAGCCTAAATTGTTGTTCTTTGAGATCCTTATAATGGAAATCAGCAGGTGGCAGCACTGAGATAAAAAATGCATGCAAATAAAAATTAATACCCTCTAGAGCTGGGTGATAAATGTTAGGAGATTAATATGTTGTTTTTCATGTGCAGTTTGTCAGTAAAGCCATTTGTATTAAACGTTCTGCATGTTTTTAGATGGAGCAGGACTGACTACTATACTAGAGCTGGGTGATATAGATATGGCGTCCCTGATTTATTTTTTCCACAAAGTATTTACAATTTAAAATAAAAAATTTTCCCCACTAAGAAAAATTAATTATTAATATTAGATTATAAAATTATAGGAAATTAAAATGCTAAAGAAAAAAAATCCCTCATCATTTAAAGATCAAATTTAACAAACTCTGTTTACAATTGCTTACAAGACTTTGATGATAATGATGATAATAATGTCAATTAAATCATTTAATAAAGTTACGATGATTGTAAACTCATAATAATTGTTAAAGGGACTTTTTAAAGATGTTATTGTGAGCTGTTTTAGTGTGTGTTCATTACTCTGTGTCTTTTGTAGGTGAGAAACTGGTGCTGTTGAAGTCTCGTTTGCAGCAAGCCATGGCCATCCGCAGGAAAGAGGAGCGAGAGAGAAGAGCTGCTCTTCATCGCCTCGATAATGAAGACTGTGAGGAAGAGGAGGAAGAAGAGATGACCGAGTCAGAGGATGAAGAGGTATTGAGATTAGCCGTTTATTTTTAACATGTATTTTTGCTGTGGCTGTCTTGCTTTTAACGCATGTGGAAAACTTTAGAATAAGGTTGTATTAGTTGATGTGAATGTACTTGAACAAACAATGAACAATACATTTATTACAGTATTTGTTCATGTTGGTTAACATTAGGTAATGGAAATAAAGTTGTTCTTTGCTGGTTCAAATTAACTCATGATGCATTAACGAATAAGGATGAATTTATATGATGATGAAACATTAGTAAATTAGTAAACTATAATAAATAAATGATGTACATGTATTGTTCATTATTAGTTCATGTTAGTAAACAAATTAACTAACAATAACTAATGAACCCTTATAGTAAAGTGTGGCCCAAAACTCTCTTAAATGAATTCCCTTTGAGTTTAGTTTTGCCAGAAAGTTTTTGACATTTTTATAATGATAATCTAAAATATCTTACATAGTGTTTCTGCTTTTAATATTTGTTATACTTGCATTTAATTGTTTTGCCATTTCAAATCATTCAAAATGCTGACATGGCATTAAATAAAAATATACTAAACCTTTTACACATCCACAAAAATAAATGACTTGCAATCCATCCTCAAATCCCACAGAGACTGTTTAATTCCTGCAAACTGAGGTTTGATCAAGTGGACGGACACAAGATTGACTTAATTTATTTTATTATTATTTTAAAAAAAAGAACAAAAACATGCAGACACACTACTTGTGTGCATTTGGCAGGGCCAGATCAGATTATTTGTTTTCATTTTAAGTAGAAAGCATTTTAATGCAATGCACTTAATTGAGGAATTGTTTAATATAGTTTAACCAGAAAAGATTTTCCGTAAACCTTGTTTAATTGTTACTGCTTTTATAGAGTTATTTATAAGAAGAAATAGCCAATAATAACTGTACCATTTGGGTAGTATTTGACCCTGGTATAAATGAAGCACCATTCGCTAAATTACAAAATACTTTTAGCATGAAACAAATATTTATCTTCCAGCTGATAGTGGATGTTTATGCATTCAAATTTATGTATTTTAATCTTTAAAAAGTGCCTACTTTGTGTAATTGCATTGTCTGCTTATTTGGTTTCTGTGTGGCATTTATAATTGACTTCAGTTCATTGTTGTTGTAAAGAGAGCCCTTGAGGCTGCATGACATTAAAGTAAACTTTTTTTAAAATCTATATACATGAAGCATTCGTTCACTCTTCATGTTACTTCTCTGACCTCAACTTCACCTTTTTAAACTTGAATCCAATTCCTTTTCAGGGTGTTGATGAATTGCTGGGAGATGGTAATGGTGATGATGAGGAAGAAGAGGAAGCGATAGACAGAGAGGAAGCAGAAGATGAAGTTTCTGTGAAAACCTGCCCATCTCCAGGCTTCAAGAGTCCGTCTCCGACTCCAGCAGACACTGACGGCACATTGATGCTGTTTGCTGGAAGCTCCTGTTCCCGCACAGGGTCTGTGTTCATAGTCTCATTAGTCTACAGCACATTCTCTGTAGTGCACACTGACTGAACGTCTCTTTCTTTCCAGGGATGGTGTGAGAAGAATAGGAGCAGCTGGCCATGAAGCTGACAATAAAATGGGTGAGATTTTGCTCCTTTTGGTGGATGTCTCGACTCTCGAAGTTTCTGTGCAGCTTCATAAACTAAATGAGAAACAATTCATCCTTTCCTTTAACAAAAAAATTGCATGTGTTCCTTTACCCAGAAACCTTCATTTCTTTGAAATTAAACATGAAAGAACTTAGATTATTTGACTTTATGATTGATTGTCGAATGCATATGAAATCAGACTGAACTGTGGTTGTGTTCACAGAGGAGGACGACACGCTTTCGTTGGCTAAGGACAGCAGTCATAACAGTAGCTTTGAGCTGATGGGCTCCATGATCACCTCGTATCAGCCGAACAGAGCTGCAAGTCGAGGCCTGTCCAGCAGTGCTTTCCGCTCCCCGTCTCCCTGCCTCTTTAGATCCAGCTTTCTGGGCTCGGCCTCAAAGGTGACACACTTCTGCTTCTCTCATGCACCTTTAATGCATGCATGAAGACCCCAAAGACATGTACAAAAAAAACAAGTGGAATCATTTTCAAGTAATGAAGCAAGACAAGCTAATGTCTTGACTATAATACACATACATGGGGGAAATAATTAAATGAGTGTCTTTTTAAAATGTTCATATTTTATTATGACGTTTTCTATAATTAGTGTATTTATTTTATTTTATGTATTTTTTGCTTTATTAGGTTTGTCCTATTTCAGAAAATAACAGAACCACGTAAAATAAATAACATACACTAGTTCACTTCACCAATAATAATTATAAGTTAATATTTTTTAAAGGGGAATTTGACTTTTTTGGGTAGTTTTTGGCTTGATGCAGCATTAGTTGTCTAAAATCTTTTACTTGCACATTACTCGACCACCAATACAATACAAAATTAAATACTACACATTAACAACACACAAAAAATGTTAAATGCAATTTCTAAAAATAAAAAAAATCTTGTAAATAAAAAATTAAATGTAATTAATGGTAATTAATGGAAATATTAACCTATTAATTAAGTTTTTATTTATATATTTATTTATAAATAAGTATATTATTTAAGTTTTTGCTCTAGGGGTTAAAAGGTAACATTTAAGGTGATAATATTTTGTGGTCAGTTGGTGGCAAAATATCAAAACGACAACCAAAATACTGCAAAAATAATTGAATTTATTTACAATAGTGAAGGGAAGTCAAACAGCAATAAATTATTATTTACAAGATCTCACAACATAAAATAAATCAATCAAATGAAGATTTAGGATAGGGGGAAACGAGAATTAAGTGACGCCAAATAAAAGCAATATAACAAAAACCCCAAATCTAGCTAATATTTAACCTCTAAACTGTCTAATACAAAATAAACAAACAAAACATCTTCAGCGTTTTCACGCTTGATCTAAAATACTCTTCTAACCAAAAAATATGGAGAAAACTTACAGTGGGTGGCGCTCTCTTCTAAACTAGTGTGTTTAGACCAGGGGTGCTCAATCCTGTTCCTGGAGATCTAGCTTCCTGCAGATTTCAGTTGCTACCCATATAAAACACACCTGCCTGTATTAAAGTGGTGTTCAGGTCCTAATTAATAGGTTCAGGTGTGTTTGATATGGAACATAGGTGTGTGAGGTGTGTTCCTCTGTGTCGAGTTTCATCGCTGCTGTTTTGCTTTTCCTGAACACTTCCTGGATGTACAAGTGACTCAAACTCGCTCATTTTGAGGCAGGAACCGTCAGACGTGCAACAACTTTAACTATGAGGTAAACACAAAACAAAACTTTCCATCCGGAGCTCCTTTGCAGGACTCCACACTTGTAAACAATCGCTCCATCAGGCTCCTGCGGCTCTCGGCCCCGCCCAGACTCGTCAGCGCTACCAAGCCAACCAATCACAGAGCTTGCGCTACGCGTTGTCAGTGACGGCGACAGCCACGGCGAAGGGCTATGCGTCAGCGCCGTAGCATACGCCGGCGTTTGACGCAGAAGTATAAATCAGCCTTAAGGGAGATGTTAAGTACAGGAAGGACTTTCATGGTGCTACACATGCTGAGGCTGTAAATAAGCAATGGTGTTTGATTTAAAAAAAGAAAAGGTCATTGAAAGTCTCTAGGTTTGCTGTTGATGAAAGAGTGGGGACCCTGATGTAAATTAGCTGTTAGATTACTAGCTCTAAATGTAGATAAACATTAATCCTCATGATCATCTCCTCCTGCAGAGCTCTGGTAAGATGTCCGAGCCGTCCCTGTCTCTGCCTGTGGAGGATTCCCAGGACCTCTATGCTCCGTCATCCCCCAGTGAATCTGCTCTCCCTCCGGCTGGAGACTCTCAGGGACGCTTCTCCCTGGAGGACGACACTCAATCACAACTACTGGACGCAGACGGATTCCTGAATGTGGGTCCTCGCGGCGGTCCCTCACGCTCGCACAAACGCCAGCTCATACTCGACAGCCTGGATGAAAACGCTATGGATGCTAACATGGGAGAGCTTCTGGGGCTTTGCTCGGGGGGCTTCGGCACGGGGCAGACCCAGCCCGGAGACTCTCAGCCTGGGGCAGAGGATGAGCTGCTGGGGTTGTGCTCTGGAGCTTTTACCACACAGCCTGGAGAGCCTGCTGCTGCTGCTGTTGTTGATCTCAGGGAGAAAAACAACACTTCAGAGGCAGAAGAGCAGAGAGAGGAGAGCCGTGGAGGATCTGAGGCGGATATGGACCAGCTGCTGGCGCTCTGCTCCGGAAAGTTCACAGGAAGCCCATGTAAGTCTTGCTTTTGGTGTTTATGGAGCCTTTTCACAAGACTGTTATGACTTGATGAAAAAAAAAACATGCACATTTATATGTATTTATGTTATTATATCAGCTTTCGATATTATAAAAAACCCACTTGTAATATTTTAATTAAATGCAGATGATAACTTTTTTGTTTTTCCTCATTGTAGATTTTAATGCATTAATGTTCACTAATGAGACTATTGAATAGTGTTGCTTGTACTTTTATAGTACTTTTGGCAATTTAATTTGGTTGAAAATATTGTTTCAGCATCAA